GATTCTAGATCATTCTCTCGGGCAGCTGGGTCGAGAACCACTGGCCTCGCGCAGGCTGCTGCTGCACGTGGGTGGGGGCCGTGGGGGCCCCGTCTGTTTCTCGCCTTCCCTGTCGCGAGCTCGTCCCTAAGGAGGGCTGTGCCGGCCTCTCCACTGCAGGGCGGCCACTGAGCCACGGGCCCCTAGGCACCACTGGTGTGATGGGGCGAGGGGACAGTATGGTCGGGTGACTTCCCTAGAGCCATCGCTTGCCCATCTGACAAACGGGACAATAATACGCAGCTCGTGGGATCTCTCCCACCACTCGCTCACCCAGCCTGCTGCCCAGAGCCCGCAGGTGCTTGGGAGCCGTCCTGTCCTTCCCTGCAGACCCGTCCTGCCCTTCCCTGCAGAGCTCCGACGATGTGAGGCCCAAGGAGTGCAGAGATCCTCGGTCTCGCAGCCCACAGCTCGCTCTCAGGTGCCTGGGCTCTGCCCACCCTGGAGCTCCGACGCGGCCACCATGGCTGATGGTTCAGAGTATCCTTGAGAGTTGTCTTCACGGCTGGATCCGCAGCGCCAGGCCTGGCACACGGTATTTTAGGTGGGGACACAGGTCAGCCAATTCCCAGAAAAACTGGAAATGGAGATTCTCGTGGAGCACCCCCCCCACACACACACTTTTTCGTATGTTAGTCACTAGCTGTTTAAGTCTTTGAATCACGTCCGCAACTTCAGATGCTCTGCGGGGGCCTGAGGCTCCCTCCCATTTGGTCACCTGTGGACATGGGGTCCTGGCATGGGTTCCCCAGAGGCCGACCCGGAGACGTGGGTTTAGGTCCAGAGCAGATCACGGAGGAGGTGAGGGATGGGGAGGAAGGGAGGGAACCCGTCCAGGGGCCGCAGTGAGCCAGCAGTGGGCAGATCGGCGTGGAACACCTCAGAGCTGTCCCCCAGGAGTCGAGGGAGCTGGGACACGTGTCCCCCAAGTCCCCATTAACACACCTCGCCGGTGGAGGGTTTCTCTGGAGGCTTATGCCCCCCAACACTCCCAGCCTGTCCCAGGCCAGGGTTGCACATTCCCCCGTGGCCACGGAAAGCCACTAACGTGTACGTCGCGGAGCCGCCCGCTAATGCTGTGGGTGGCCACCAGGATGGGACACCCACGGTGGCCACTGCATTTGTCCGGGGCTGGTAGTGCTGCCCCCATTTTCAAGTGGAGGGAAGTGGCCTGCCTGCCTTCGTTAATGCCCAGCAACCGCGTCCACCGATGAGCCATAAGATCAGCCAACCTCTCCTGGGCGCTCAAGCCGTGCCAGGTGCTGCCGTAAAGACTTCAGCACATTGGCCCGTCTAAGACCCCTAGGCTCTGCCCGAGCAGGGTACTGTTCAGTCGGTGCAGGGACCCAGCACAGAGAGGTGAGGCTCCCTGCCCCAGGCGGCCCAGCCAGGGGCGGCGGGCTCGGATCCCGGCAGCCGACCTCCCCCGGCTGCCGTCACCTGCTCCTCTCCGGTCCCTTCCAGAATTCCCTTCTGCCCCGCTCCGCTCGCCCTTCCTTAGCGCTCTGCCTCTGGAACAAAACCCCACGAAGCGCTTTCTCTTGTCCTCCCGGCAGCACAACCCCCCCCCCCCCCCCCCCCC